GTGAACTCTCTTTGCTTAATTGCCAATTTGTTGCATAAAATTGGTGCTGGCAACTGGACCCCCACTTCCAATAAGACCCTGCTTACAGAGCTGCAATGCAAAGTCATTTATTGGGTCATGATTGGGAAAGTTTTTAGCTTTGGGGATCTTGTCTTTCAAATTCTTCAGAACTTTGTTGCCAACAATGAGTCTCGTAAAACTCTTCCGTTCCCTTGCCTCATTTGGTCCTTTCTGTCGGCTCATAACTTTTCTGTTAACCTTCGCTTCCAAGACTCTCTTGAGAATCCCCGGAAAGCACTCTCTGTTAGTGCTCGCACTCTGAATGAGAAAGGAATTTCCAAGGTCACGAAGGAAATCGCTCCTTCCTTGGTCCCAAAGAACTGGGGTGAGTTTGTGGCTCAGCAACTTGGAGAGTGGGATGATTTGGCCAAGAAGGTTGCTGCTCAACAGGCTTATCTTCGCCAGGTGTTGCAGGCTGTCAAGGGATCAGCTCGGAACTCGGGGACGGGCCCTTCGGCATCCCGTAGTTCGAAAAAGGGGGAGAAAAGCAAGAGCAATGAGAAAGGTGATGAAGAGTCTGATGCTACTGAAAAGCTTGATGATGAGTAGTTGTAGTTTGTCTCCTTTTGTTTCTTTGTGTGTTTTGAGGATTGTAGGAAAACTTGTTATTTGCTGTTGGTTGTTTGCTGGTTGCTACTAAATTTGTTTTATGGGAATTAAAGCAGTTGTTTTGGTGTTCTTAATGTCTATGGTTGAAATCAATTTGGAAGCATTCTATTGAATTTTGGTGACTGCAGGAACTAAGGGGGAGAACTGCTTTAAGGAGATCTTGTGATGTGTTGAACTAATCCTTGCTTGATTTTATCTGTGAGTGCTTGTTGTTTTTACTGTTGTAGGAGACTTTCAAGTCTGATGTTTTCGAACTAGATGCCAAAGGGGGAGATTGAAAGATATTTTGTTTTGGCATTAGTTCGATTAGTTCGAACAAGCACCTGGAACCACAGAATAAAAGGGAAGATCTTTAAATATTATATTTCCTTATGTAATATTGTTTTATTTTCCTTATATAAGATCATGTTGATTTTATTACCGTTTTGATATGCTAGGAGATTACGTATGGTGAGATAAAGAAGGAGAAGAGACATGCTTGGAGAGGAGATCAAGGAGAGAGAAAAGAAGATCTACTTGCCAAAGATATGCTATTATCTTGGAAGGAGATTTTGATGAAGTCCTATGCCTTGTAGAAGACTCCAACCCTAAGGAGATTATATATATACCCTAGAAGAAGCTTATGGCTGTGGTTGAGTTTTTACAGAGAAAATAATTGAAGAGCCACTCAAGCTTCGTTTGCGTGCTGTTTCATTTTGATTTGTATTCAGTTCAGTTTACGAGTTCTTACAAACTCTAGAACTGAAGCTGCTTTTGTTTAGTTCTTTATACATTCCATCAAAACTATTTTACGGTAGATACACTTAGGGAGTAAGTGTAGGTTTTTAAGTCCACGGGACGTGGCCGGAGGATTAGTTGATAGGATCAAGTAGTGTTGGCTAGATTTGAAGGGAGTTCAAGTCGTTGTAAGTCCAAACTATGTATACGAGTGATCTATCAATGAAAGAACTCTGAGGGGAAGTGGGACGCTTCCCTGAAGAGTTTATTAATCTTCGGTTATTTGCTTCCGCATTTTACAATTCTTATTGGTGTTCTTACTAATACTCGCGCACTCCGTGACAAATATAAGTTTCACGGCTGGTACAGTAAATTTTTGAATACTATTTTTGCTAAAATACCGTATAAAATACTATTTATTTTGTACTTTTATAAATAATTTTACATAAGAAAAACTTCTAAATGTAATTTTAATATTCTTATGTTCTTATTTAGTTTTTAACCAATTTACCATTGATTAATTTTATTTTATACACTGTTTATAGTATAATTATAAATTTATTTAATATTCATTAAAAGTTGTAAAATAGACGATAAAATCACCTGAGTCTGTTGAACCATATAGACGCATATACCATGATTTGTTCGGTACGATTAATCGATTATTAGTAAGGTATTTTAAAATATTTAAACATTTATTTATTTAATATGGACGATAAAATCAACTTAGGTGCATACCATGATTTGAGTACGATTATTAGTACGGTATTTAAACATTTATTTCTTTATTTTTTGCAATACACAAGACTCGTGATGGGCGAAGGACAAAGTATACATCAAAGACACATAATTATTTATTTTTTGCAAGTGCTCCAAGTGCACTATATTATCTTGACGAGGGCCTAAGCAATGTACATGTTTGATGTAGATGTTCACACGTGCCACACGCATTAAATGTATAGTTGATGAAATCATAAAAACTATACCTCATAGTAAGTGTATTAAATTATATCAAGGTTCGAATTTAATTTGGATTAAAATA